TGTCTGCACTTCTCTCTCCAAAGCCTTCGAGATTCTGCAAACCACTTCGCCTCTTCTCATCCAGGAGGGCCAAGCTCTGCGGCTGGTCTGTGCTGCTGACAGCAACCCCCCTGCAGCACTGAGCTGGTTCCGGGGGTCCCCAGCCCTGAACGCCTCCCCCATCTCCAGCACCGCGATCCTGGAGCTGCCTTGAGTGGGGACTGCAGAAGAAGGAGAGCTCACCTGCCAAGCTCGGCACCCCGCTGGGCTCCCCAAGTGTCTCTCTCAGCCTTTCTGTGCAGAGTGAGTTGCAAGCCAGGTGCTGGGGGCAGGCAGGGTGCTGGGATTGGGGTAATGGGGGGCACTTGCGGCTGACACAGCTTCACCCCCTGTTGTGTTCCCCAGGAAGCCCTCCTTCTTGCAGATGTGTGACTGAGGAGCAACAGGGCTCCTGGCCCCTGGTCCTCACCTTGATCAGGGGGACCCTCATGGGGGCTGGCTTCCTCCTCACCTATGGCCTCACCTGGATCTACTACACCAGGTGAGCAGGCCTGTCCCTGTCCAGGGAAGTCTGGAGATTGGCCTGAGTTCCAGGTGTGGCTGAGCTGCCCCGCCCTGCCTGGAGTGAGAGTTCAAGGGGCAGGTTCTCTGAGCTGAGACTGGGTTGGCTCTGCAGGTGTGGAGGCCCCCAGAGAACAAGGCCGAGATCCTGACTGAGCCCCCTCCTCCTCAAACGAAGCCCAGAGGGACAGACGTGGGACACCAATGTCAGCTTCTCCCTGGAAACTCTTGACTCACACCCTGTCCCAGTTGTACCCATGGCATTTTGATTTGTGGAGGTGACTGAGTGACGTACGGAGAGTCAATGCTATTGAAAGAAGATGTTTCTTACTGACATTTTCTTCTGTCCTTTTTTACCTTTGCCAGGTCAGACAGGGCCACGGGGAAAGCACCAGGTTTGGTCAGGAGGCAGGAGCAGGTGAGGGGAAGGCCTCCTATGAGCCTTTATTGGGGATTCCGTAAGACATCCAAGGCAGGGCAAGGCAAACAGTCTAGTATCAGCTCATTGGAATATTTCTGGGGCTCTTGGACTCCTAAGGGTTGCCTGTAATTCTCTGTTCCTGTGGTTCTGGATGATTTAGGGCTGCTTGGGGGTGAGAGTTAGACAAAGGCAGTCACTGGGGGATATGAGCTCAGGATTGGTTACTTTGCATCTGAAAGGCTGCAGCTGGCTGGACCCTTGGCTGTCTCTAAGAATCAGGTACCTAGGGAGTGGCTGTCTTCCTGGCCAGCAAGCTCTTTAAGATGTCAAAACGTCATAAGGTACAGAAATAAAAAAGAAGCAATACAACTACACTGACTGTCCTCTTGTTTCTGCCCGTGCCTTTCCCATTTGACTTACTCTCTCTCCGTTTTGGTGCTGCTCCACTCATCCCCGCCACCCCAGTTCCTCTCTGACCAATCGCAGGCTCAGGAAGGTAGTGAACTTGGCGCCTTATCCTCCTATTGCCCAGAAGTTCCGTGGTTAACACCTGAATATCTGGTCTCCCAAACTTCCCTATCAACACAGACATCAATACACAGCAGAGTCAGCAGCTCAGGTCTTCTTTCCAGGTTTAAAGATGCCTACCTCATAATGGTTGTTATAAAATATCCCAGCATTTAATTATAAATAGAAATTTTATTAAGTAATACAACAGAGAAATTGATTTTACTGTTTAGTGCCTGTGGGCGTTTCTAGAGACAAATTATATCTGAGTCCTCTATTCCTCTTTCTTTAACCTGTTTCAAGCAAATTTTTTGTATACTCATTGTTTTTTGAAGTCTAACTTAAATTAAGTAAAATATACAAAGCCAAAGAGTTCGATTAGGTGAATGTTTCTATGTGTACACACCCTGCTTCCACCACCAAGCTCAACAAACAGACTCTTTCCACCTACCCCTGCTGGGCAGGTCAGGCTACAAG